AGGTAAAGCTATAAAAAGGTTTGTATTTATATAAATATAACATTCTCTACAATTCATCGCAAACTTAAAGAAAGTAGGGAAACTTTTAGGACCAAGGATATGTTCTTTAGTATTACATATCATATTGTCAAGTATCAGTAAGCATAATTATTTATTTTACTATTTCTTTTCAAGTTCAGAATGCCTGCTAAGGTCAAGGTTCATCTTGTTCCTTTTAAGCAAGATGTGATTCCTTGCCTTTTCTCTCTTTAAACAGAAAAAACTAGAAAGTTACGTATCTCTGGATGTAGTATAATGAGTAGTTTTCCCCTTAAAATAATAATGGATCATTTACTTGTTGAATTAGTAACACCAAGCTTTCAGCAATGGGGCTAAGGGTCCCCTTTTTAAAAACTGATTATGTAAGTTATCTATCTTATATTTATTTGAAAGTATACTTTCTTTGTATATAATACAGTATACTTGGTTTTCAGCCTTGAGTTTTTACAAAACATATGAAGATGCTGGAGCTGGTGAAAATGTGAATTAACAAGAAAGTTACTTGTTAAAGTGAGTCCAAAGAAAGCCAGAACTCTTCTTTTGCAAACCTGACATCACAACTTTTAATATTTTATCTGTATTCATAGGCTGTTTTTATTTAAGTGGCTGCATTGTGCTTCTTGTAGCAAAATACATGTCTTGCAAAGATAAGTTTAGCAGAAGAGAATTAATTTCTTCCCACATCTTTTAATGTGGCATGGCAGTCTCACTGTAAGATCAAAACACATAACTGAAGGTTATGTTTAATTTCTAAATCAAAGTGTTGTGGGAAGATGATTGAAATCTGAAGATGACTCAGATCCACTTGACATGTGGTTTTCTTCCTACAGAAACATTATGGTAGACTGCCATTCCATGTTAGAGAGAACCTAATAGTAATAAGATTATAAGAAATAGTTTCACTGTAAACTGAAAGTCACTTTAGTTCTTGGTCTGAATTTCTTAAAGAGCTTGGAAAGCTTCAGTAACCTAAAATCAGTTTCCCCTACTCCATATCATTTTTGTTGGTTCATCTTTAATCCATGGGGAGGAAGAGATAATCAGTGTATTTTACCAACAAATGCTGATTTTTGACAGTCTTCATGAGAGAGTACTTTTGTTCAAAAATGTAAAGTATCCAGTAGGCTCCTTGCCTATACAAATTTCACCATTTGACTTGAAGGACACAAGAAGATCTCTGATTGCATTAACTGTGTCAGATAAGTTTGGTAAGGCCTGGTAATTGGAAGTTACAATCTCTCACCCAAGTAAGCACATTTGTTTTCTTATTTTTGTTTCTTAAGGCCACCATGCAAACTATCTCAAGCTGACGTGGGGTTTTTTCAGGTGTTTGAAAAACAGAAATCAGAAATTTTGCCCCTGTCTGGATTTCGCTCATTGCCCCTTATCTGAACTTCTCAAGGCCTCTGTGTGTGGGGTGCACAGCGCAGCATACTCAGACAGTTCTGCTCAGAGAAGGAAGTGGAGAGTTTTGGTTCCCATTTTGCACTTCTGGAACAGTTTAGGGAAGGAAGCACCTTTACACCTTTTATTGTTCGTGGTTGCTGACATCATATCCTTCCCTGACCAGTCTGTGCGTGTTTCCTGCCATTCTGTCAAGATCTTCTGTGTTTCTGGGAGGGATTTGAAGGAGGGAGGGAGAGAGGGAGGGAGGGAGAGAACAAGACAGAATAAGGGAGGGAAGGTGGGGGGAGGTGTGCATTACTCAAGGGAACTTGTTTGTAAATGAGAGAGCAGAGAGCAGGGGGGAAGAATGATCTTTAGCATCTGTCCACAAGAAATTCTGCTCTGCTTGGGTCTCAAACCACTTTGCCCTTCATCACTCTGCTTATGCCAAACTAAAAATGAACAGAAGCCTGCCTGAATGAAGTTCCCCTTTTTAGTAAGCAGCCTGATTTTATTTTCTTACATTTAGGTTGGCAAAAAAGGGCGGGGCGGGGGGGGGGAGGGTGGTCAGGGGCAGTGGGAGTAGAAGATTGTAATTCTATAGAATGTAACTATGGGAGAACATTTCTTTCTCTTTTATTTTTAATTACCGATTGTTTATATAGAACTCTGTCATTTTCCAAGAATGCTACTTTCATGTGGAAAGAAGTAGCAGCAAGGCTGCTGGAATTATTTTAAGCTTATGGTTGATTGTACATAATGAAAGTTCTCAGTATAATTTGAAATTCTACTACAAGTCGTTGTGTTGTTATAATTTTTTCTTCATATGACATCTCACTGTTTTATATATTATAAATTGTTCTATAACCTCTTTTTGAGTTTTCCAGGGTCTCTGAGGAATTAATGTTTGCAACTGAGCTTACAATACAGTATTAGCATAAAAATCAAGTTAGATAAATGGTTATGCTAAGACAACAGCCATTGGACAATTGTTGACCTTCCAAGTTCTTGAATTCTGACTAAGAGCCTTAAAATGTGGTGACCCATGATCAAGTGCTCTCTGCCACATGTTTCATGACACATTTTACTTCATAAAAACAGTTCCTCAGTCTCATCTTGACAGAGCATTCTGTAGAGTTACTTTATACTACCAAACATTGCATTTCTAAAATGTGCAAAGCAACATTCCAAGAAATACTTGTTTTTACAGAAGATAGATAAGAGTTGAATTTTATTGAAATTTACTTTTTTCTTTTAAAAAGAATATACGTGTGTGTGTGTGTGTGTGTGTGTGTGTGTGTGTGTGTGTGTGTGTGTGTGTGTGAAATTCCTAAAAGACTTTATCCGGCAAATATTTCCCATCAGGTTTTTAGTGGGTAAAAAAAATCCTAGCTCTCTGCTCTTTTCAAATACTGTCTTTCATTTCCAAGTTGTGTAATATGGGGTAGTGATGTGGAGAAACTTCTAAGATTGGTTCATCAAGAACTCTCTTCCTTTCTGAGGAGACTTCTCTGGGAATGCTTCTCTACTGGTGTGATAGTTTGTTTTTCTGAAATTGGCATCTGTAGAAGTTTTCATTGTCCCACCTTGTCACCACACTCTAATCTCTTCACCCTGACCTTCCACCTTAAACTGAGTAAGCTCTTAGGCAGGCGTAGTCCTGTAAGCCGATAGTGCCACTGGCCTCAGCTAAATGAAAGCAAAGGAAATTGTCCCACATGCAGTTGCTGTCGATTCATGGGTTGGCTTCTCTGTGACAGAGGAAGGCTGTTTGTCTCTTTGGGGTCTTGCACATGCATGAGAAATGCCATTCTAATGTGCCGCATGCTCCTAAGGTAAGGCCGACTATAGGAAACAGGAACGTTCCCCAGTTGAGTGATATTTAAGACCATTTCTAAAAATAGAGAATATTTGGCAACAGAGCTATATGATGTAATTGTGCTTTGTGGATTTTTTTTATGTCTTAATGTGATTTTAGTTTATCTTATAGCTATTTTTTTAGTGTATAATTGTCAAATGTATGTTATGTATATACTGAAACTTTTTAACTACTTCCAATATTTAAAAATGCCCCTCAAGGAATAGTTTTTGATGAGTATTGTGTGGTCTTGATGTTCCCCAATGTATGTATTCTCAGAGATTGTACTGAGCTGCAGATTAGTAGAAAGGCAGTGGGCAAAAGAGAATGGATGGGTTTAGTATTTAAGCACTGCTTAATCCACCAGAACTAATTATATCATAATAGGTTCTACAATTAGATAATCAGAGAAAACTTAAATTAAAAAAATTTACTCAAGGTGATAAGGAATTTAGAAATTAAATTAAGGAAATCAAAAGGCAGCTGATGCTCAGGCTAAGTGTATAACAGCTTTCCTGTTCCAATAACTTTGAATTGGAGCCAAATAATCTATTAAATAGCCAGGACATTGGCTTAGCGTTACATAATACATGTGGGAATTTATCAGGTCTGTTGTCAGACACCAGTTAAAATAAACAGGGAAATTCTTAACAGTGTGTAAAGCAGTTGCATTCTTTGACGTCAGACAGGCTAGAATAATTGAAGCTCTTTCTTGCAAATGAAGAAGCCTTGTGGATTGCTTTCTGCTTCTACATTTCATAGCAAAAATTCATTCATTGCATTCTAAAAAATTTGGATATAACCTAAAGCCAAGTAAAATACGTATTTTTAATATTCTAGGTTTCTTGGTTTATCTTGTTATTGATTATTTCTTTGATTTTAATTGATAACCTAAAGGTTTTCAGTAATACAGTAAGCTTCTGTAATTTTGAATCTTACTGCCTAAAGAGATATTTGTCTTCTTAAAATATTTAAATTTAGAGGACTGATGACTTATTATAAAAAGTATAGTTATAAATGATATCATTTTTGGTACCATTTCTTTCTATGAGTGATTATCTTTTTTTTTTCTTGTATTCAAGATATAGCTTAAGGGCTTTCAAAAGGAAAAGATCTCAGTGAAGATAGCGGCTTGTTATGTAAGATTAAATACCCCATATTATTTTTACAGTGTTCAGATAGCAGTGACTTTTTCAAAATAAGATTAAAGGATTTAGATTTAAATTAGTTGACATTTACATATATCAAATAGCACTTTCATAATCGTCCATCCTATTTGCATAACGAGGGACGTTATCACCTCTGCTGTCAAAACATGAGATTGTTTTCCCTTCAGAAATGAATTAGCTGTCCTACTTAGCATACACAGGTACATAAAGGTTCATTAACTCTCTGATTTAGGTAATTTTTCATAACAGAAGGGTGAAATAGTCACCTAATTTCATTAAAAAATATGAAGAAACTCTGTAAAAGATGCATTTTCAGCATTGGGCTCTAAGCATAGTTTTTATCATGTAAATGACTTGTTAAATTACTTATGAGATTATTTTAATTATAAAAACAAACCATTCCTATTCATTTTGATCCTGATGTACTTTTAATACTTACCCTCATTCATTTTGGTGGCTTACTTCTTTATAGTTCATTTTCTTTTTAAAATTAGGATGTTATAGCGCTCAGGAACCTGGATGCGATTTAATTTTTCTTTTTGGTTTAGCAGGAACGAATGCAGGAATTTGAGAACTGAGCAGTGCAAGTGCTGAAGAAGGAGACTTGTTTGGAGGAAAGAGGAAAGAGAAAGAAAAGGAAGGAAAAAATACATAATTTCAGGGACGAGAGAGAGAAGAAAAACGGGGACTATGGGGAGAAAAAAGATTCAGATTACGAGGATTATGGATGAACGTAACAGACAGGTGAGTGGGTAAACTCGTTTTCTTTCATTATTTACATAAACATTTACAGTTTCCCCAGATAGATTACATATGCAAAAAACATTTGAAACTTCCAAACATTAAATGTGGCCAGTTTATGTGTTAATAGTTTCTTATATGTAAAACTAAGAAAGCTCCTTAAGAATCTGTTAGAGATATAGTTTACACATTCATAATTATTCACTACTTACTTTAATATGAATTTTAAACAAGAACTATACTTGTAGCACTTGAATAGCTCAATAATTAAAAGTGGAAAGCATAACATTGCTACATTGCACGCATCATCAAACAGATATTCTTATATTCATAGAAGCCATAGGCCTTTTGCAGATATCCATTTCAAGGTGTATAATACAAACCCAATAACTTGTATTAAAAATTATCTTTATTCTATTTACAGAAGAAGAGATTTTGAAATATGCCCAAATACTTAATTACTTAATACAGAGTTGACAAGAATAACAAAGATCCTGCTCCCCCCCCCCCCCCGCACACACACAGAATACTAGTAACTTCAAACTTTAGGCAAGAACTATTGGTTAATTCTTTTTATTTAACTAACTCCTAGATTTTATGAACATGGAGACAGATGATTTTATAATTTTTTAGAACACCATTGATTCCAACTGAATGATGCAATCTGTACCTCCAAATGCTCTGTTCGTCAGTAAATATGATATCTGTGATTTGACTCTATTTTTCTTCACACTTTAGTCAGCTCTTGTAAAGATGTTTTGGTACTTTGTATGCATTCTAATGTACTGTATCAAGTATTGGTTCTCTGGGAAATTTATAATGCTGCCAGATCCCAACTATTGATAGTGGAGACTTGCAAAGCAGGCAAGAGATATTTATCTCTTGCATGTTTATACTGGAGAACAGTGAAGGAACAGCCTTAGAGATGTTCATTAGACTAATTTCCCCCAAATAAAAAACTGTCTCCCCTAAAATTCCCTTCTGTACTTTCTTAGACCTACAAGTAAGTCCAGAACTGGCTTGCTTTTTTAAATTTAATGTTGCTAGGTGTATAAAATATAAGGAAGAAATGCCATTGTGCCAATACGAAGTAAATAACATTTTTTTTTTAGACTTTACTCTTTTAAATGTTTTTTTAAGCCTTTAAGTTATTATGTCTAAGGTTTGTATGTATGACTAAGTTGTTAAGGTCATGTACAACTTGAGCTTTGAGGGCCAAAACTGAACTGAAGGATGAATGGTTATAATATTTGGTGGGTTCCTTTAGTGTTTTCCTAAGTGTTGTTTATTGAAATGGGTGAAGTCAAAAAAAGAAATAAAAGGTAGTAACTCTGTCAACATAAATCCACAGTATATTTTGAATTGGTTTATAACTAGAAATTAATATTGAAATATTGAGCATGGTGTACCACTGACTGTTTAAATTCTAGTTTTTTCAAATACAATCTATTTTGGATGTAGCAAAAGTTATATGAATTAGCACCTGTACCTCATTAGTAATACCAAATAATTTTTAAGTTCATATAATTCATTGTATCCTCCCTTTGCTTGCAAAGAGAGAAGAAAATTTTTTGCAGGTTCAATTCATGACCTTTATTATACTATATTATAGTGCTTGTGCTATCTCTCCGGCCCCTGTTAAGCTGTGTTCACATGTGGAAAATAAATATGTTAATTGTTTAGTCAAAATAACTTTGGAAGTCAAAATAAGAAAACTTATTTAAATTCAATTTGGTTTATCTTATTTTTCTTTAATTCTGAAGATGAATTCCTTTATTTTAATCTCTAGAAATTAAGTATCTCTTTATTCCTTTCTCTCATCTTTAGTAGATACAATAGACCTTTTAACTTGCTGCCCTTAAACAGAATGGGTAAAATTGAAAACCATCATGTTTTAAAATGTATTTTAGTTTCTTGAAGTGGCTAGCGACAATTCTTAAACAGCCATCTTAGGTATACATGCTGGTCATACGCACCTCTCAGCTTCTATGAGAATGGTCATAAGGCGCTGATGAAAGAACCTATAAAATAGAGCTGACTTCTAATAATCAATACTTGCAGGTCTACAAGAATAAAGAACAGAGACAGCAGTGCTCTGGGCTTCTTTCATTTATTTCTATTTGTTTGTTTGGGCTGGAGGGGGTAAAACCTGATGACACGGATGACTTTTTTCAGGCGCTCTGCTCAGGGATCATTTCTGGCAGTGCTCAGGGGACTATCTGCAGTGCTGGAAATCGAGCCCCGGTCTGCTTCAGGACATCTACCTTAACCCGTGTGCTATCTCTCCAGCACCTATTAAGCTGTGTTCACATGTGGAAAATAAATATGTTAGTTGTTTAGTCTTTTTGAAGCTTGCCCCCACCACCCCATGTCGACTTCCAAATAGAATCCCACCCAATGGCTCACTGGCATCTTTCCTAAAAGTAGTAAAACACTGGTCTACCGTTGCAGGTTATTTATACAGATAAAAGGGTAGGTTTTTACCAGCCAAAGAAATACTGACTTCAAGTGGGAAATAATATATTTCAGAGTTAATGTGATAAGCTGCAGATCGTTAAGACATAAGACCCTTGTTTACCGAGTAGCCATCTATTCCCATTGAAGTTTTCCCTTACTGAATCATCCCTAATGGTAGGGAATAGCTGAAATTCAGAAACTCCAACTGCGTAGAAAGTAGTTTAGGGGAATATAAAAATTAATAGCTTGTTTTATTTTCTTAAGTTTCCCGAGTTCCAAGTTTATGAAAACTATTCATTTCTCAACTTGTAACCCACACAAGATGGATTTCTTAAGCTAGTATGTAAAAATAAATAAAATCATGAATTGTGGGTTTGTTTTACAGAAATTTTTAGATAACTTAATAAAAGTGCTACATGTAACAAGATCTACAGATATTCTTCTATTTGGTCCTTGGAAATCTCATTTACCGATAAATAGCTTATTTATTTCTTAAATCACCAGACATAGTTGATTATAATATACGTGTCTATCATTAAGTTTTCAGGCATAATAAAGAGCTAATACTATTGCTCACTGTCTGCCACTGAAGTCAGCAAACGTTTTTCAATACAAGACCAGAGAGTAAATATTTTTAGCTTTATAATCTCTGTTTCAGCTTCTCCCCTCTGCCTAGTCTGTGTAGTGCGTGTGGTGGCGGTGGAGATGGGGCTTCTCCTACCACACACAGTGCTTACGGCACCCCAGGGCCAACTAGACCAAATACTTCATTGTTAGAGACACCTAACATTGAAACAACTAGCAACTAGCAACCAACTAGCCGTGCTGCAATATTTCTCCAGCTAGGCCAGAAGGTTCAGTGCTAGGGTTCAGAGATTGTGTGGTGTTGCTCAAACTCTCAGAAGTGATGGGTACGAGGGCCACACCTGATAATGATCAGGGAATCAGGTAGTTCTCGGTCCAACATAGAACTCAGTGCATGTAAGTCACTTGCCTCTGATCCCAAACTTACTTCCCTAGCCTACAGCCCTAGCCTTAAAATTGTTAAGAACAATGCCACATAGGTCACTCAGTGGGCAAGTACTGAAGCTTACATGAGGGAGGCCCAAGTTCTTCCCCTACTCCCTTTGGCCCCCATAGCATATGTGAGAGTCACCCCTGAACATTGAGCCTCAAGTAGTTCTTGAGCACCACCAGGTGTGGCCCACAAACAAGTCAACAAAAAAGAATCCAAGAACATTTTGAATAAATTTATTGTCTCTGTTTAAAATTTTACTATCAGGAGCCAGAGTGATGGTATAGGATGTGAGGCATATGGCCTACTGGGTTCAAACCCTGACATTCCATATGGCCCCAGAACACCACCAGAAATAATTCCTGAGTGCGGAGCAAGGAGGAACCCTTGGGCATCACTGGATGTCACCCCAAGACAAAAAATAAATAAAAATAAAATTTTACTATTAATACTGGGGAGGGAAGGCTACAGCCTATGGATCAACTTTTGGATCTCTGGGTAGAATAAAGCCCACGTAAATATGAAAATACATGACAAAAAATTTTTATATGTGCTCTGAATAAAACCCTTAAAATGTTAGTAGAAGATAATGACAGTAGGTACTTTTTTTAAAAATTGAAGATCCTCCTTTTTCTAAGGAAATTGTAGAAGGAGCTAAAGATGTTAAGAGTTAAGACATGCAGAATGAAAGGTATTTGCAAAGTTCCTTCAAAAAAGAAAGAGCTTGCCAAGGAGCTCAGGAAAACCCATGGACTTAACCTGGGGACTGACTTGAGAGAGATGAGAGATGTGATTAGACTGTAAGCAGGACCCAGATCATGCAAAGCTTTGAAACCAGACAGTTAATCCTACAAGGTAGCAAGACTTGAGCTTTAAATCTCTCAGACTTAAACAAAACAAAACATACTTTTCTCGAATATGTCATCGTACATCCGGCATAATATACTGGCAATGAGTATGGCTTTTAGAGGCCGACAGAGATTGTTCTTGTTCTAATTCTCCCACCTCCTAGCTTTATGACTCTCCAGCAAGTTAATAAAAATCCTCTGTGCTTGAGCAGTGTTCTCATTAATAAGATAGAGTTAAAATTCATACATGTGCCATCAGATCTTTGAGGTCATCAAATAAGGAGATGAATACAAAGTACCTACTACTCTCTGTAATATGAATTGTGTACCTTTATCTACAAGCTGATCCTATTAAGATTCAGTCTCTTTGAACCATTCGTTGTTACAATAAGTATCAAACCTCCTATGTTGTAGAACATACTCGAAGATTTATTTCAAGAAGGTTTTACCTCAAAAGGCTAATCTGGAGATGGAAGTAAAAGTGGAACAGAGTAGAGCATGGAGCACAAACGAGCCGTCAGATGTTAACAAGCACAAATCCTATCAGAGAAGGACTGGCGGGTGGCTGAGGATAGCTTACAGACAGGAAGGAAAAAGCACATTTTACAGAGCAGATTTCTGCAAGGACAAGGATGGAGAGAGAGTTTCCAAAACTTGATGCTGTGGCACTTACTACTAAGTGT